CATTAATGGATTCGCGTTTTCTCAGCGGCAAAAACATCTATAAGAATGATCTTGTCTGGTTCGTAGTCTAAAATTTGTGTTGGACAGTGTTTTAAGGAGAAAATGAGATTTTCTCAAGATTGTCTAAAGACTGGATGCAAATCGTTTGAGTCTCAGCAAATGACTTTATCTTTTGATCACTATTTTGCGATTTATTTTGTAACAAAGAATATGAGGATGCAATAGAATGCCTGTTAGCCAAAGCTCCATTATTTGAATGAATCCACTATCCGGATGTTCTATTATTCGAATGTTTGCGTAACATTTACTTTTAAAGAATAGAAACGTATCCTTTTTATGTCGAAATGTTTATGTGGTATTAGACAAATTACATGAAAATTTGCTCCGAATTATGTTTGCATTATTTTATTAATTTGACTGACTCTATTGTATTTACAAAAATTTTACTGTATTATATATAACAGGACATATCCCTTTTTTTTTACCGAAAAATCTTCGTCAGTGAGATTTAAACGATTCGTGAGTGAGAATTGTATGAATATTCATAAAATACGTACGTAAGAAACATACGCAGAATATTTTGCTCTGAGTCATTCTTCTCCTCACAGATAACATCGTTTCATGATATTTCTCAAGCAGAATAAGTCACGGTAACGTCAAAATGAATGTGGTTGATCAAAAAGTGACTTTTAATAATTATTCGTTTTATATCTTTTAATAATTATTTTGGAATCATTTTGATATCATGATGATTCTTTTCTGCTTGAATTTCTATTTCGAGCTATATTGCAACTTATCGCATGTCAACTAATTGTTAAAAGCGATGAAATACTGTGAATACCATAGTCAAGTGAAGATATTATCTTTGTCGATTAGTACTGTCATTACGCATTACGTGTCGTTTCGTGTCGCATAGTAATCATGCCAAGTTTGCAAAAGTGCGGTTTTCCGGGATCTGATCGCGCTGGGTCAAGGTTTTTCATGACACGATTCATTAATGTCACTGTTGATTCGAAGACTCATAGTGATATTACTAAAACGATTATTAATGAGATTTCTTGCCGTCATCTGATTGAATGCAAAGCCAGCTTCGTCTCGCAGAGAGCTCAGATTGACGCGCAGGATGTTAATTAATCGCGCGAAGGCGGTATTAATACAATGAGATTGTCGGGCAGTGACCCATTTGCGAACAGCAGATTGTAGTCTGCTGTCACTTAATAGGCGTTAAGATAATTAGTCTCGAGATTTGTAATTAACAACTTTCAATTGATGGTGCATTGTCCGATTAAATTTACTTTGAAAAAATATTAAATTCTTTCTTGAGTATATATTTATACACTAAAAAAAGTGTTCTCATTAAACCAACAAAAGAGTCCAACAAAAATGACATTTTAGTGAGGACAAATAGAATCTCTGAGAAATACAAGAATCAGAAATTTGTTCAGTTTCATTAAAATGATATTCTTGTTGGTTTTATTGATTTAATTTAACCTTTTATTGATTTAATCAAAACATTTATTTCCCAATATAAATATAAATTTGGACTTTGCATTTTAATATCTCTGTTCGTGTTGCAAATCTAAAAACACCTTTTTCTTTGCAATAATTATTGAGATTTGATAATTATATCTTGATTCAACTAGTGACCCGTGTATAGACACATAATCTGTCTTGTGACTGCCGCACGTACATGTAGCATAAAACACGTAATCGTATCTCTTGATCTTATCTTTCAATAAGACGCGATTTATATTTCAATTTGCATCTTTATCCCGGATTTATCATTTGCATCTTTATTATCTAATTTTGTATCTATAAAATAAATAAATTGTGTTTCACTTGTTAGTCATGGCGATTAAAAGTTAACAATGAAAAAAAAGTCGGCGGATAAAATCCATTTTCGGAAACTTAGACCGGTATCCATAGTCCGATCCTATTAATTATCTGTATATCTTTAGAAAATCATATTTCCTGATAATTAATCTTGTTCGATTTTTACAAAATTCTTCATCAGGAGCATTTTTAAAGATCGTATTGAAGAAAAAATTTTACTCGAACAGAATCATGCATGTCTGGGTCTTAAAACTTAAGATCTTGAAATAAAAACGGATTATTAGTACAATCTATGATTGGTTTATGACCATCTTAAGACTGTACTCAAGACGGTCTTAAATATAAGAACCAATGATATTTAAGACTGTAATATTTAAAATTGTATTGTGATAATCCGTTCTTATTTCAAGATCTTAAGTTTTAACCTTTTAAGACACTGATTTCGTTCGAGTAAAATTTTTTCTTCATAATACTATCTTTAAAAATGCTTCTGATGAAGAATTTTGTAAATCGAACAAGACTGATTATCCAGAAATATGATTTTATGAAGATATACATATAATTAATAAGATCGGACTATGAATACCGGTTAGAATTGAACTTATAGTCAAAACAAAGAAAGTACATCGACATTTTTGGCATTTTATAAAGCTTTATTAATTAGAAAAAATTTTTTATGTAAGTACTAAGATATGCGACCATGTCAAATCCAATCTTTCGCTCTTATTATTGTTGTATTCTAATTGTTTCGAACGAATTCGGTTCTACATGTTCAACGATCGGTTACGTTATCCTTGTCCTTAGGCCAAATGTGAAATATGGTGTATTATATAAGTAACCGCGACACATAATAATTTAGATTTTGCGGGAACGAATAAGACACGACTCTTAGGGATGATGAAATAACTAGCAATTCAATAATATCTTACATCCTGCAATTTTCTTAATGTCCTACAGTTTCACCTGAGTCTGTAAAACTTACATTCGCAAATGAGTTTAAAGTATCATCTCTTTTTTCTGTACAAAAATCAAGGATAAAAACATACAAGTTTATCACAAACGTACAGTATAAACTCAGTCTTGAAACATCATAAATTTTAATTTATGTAAGCGGATGTATAAACTTATTATATCGTACTTAAGAAATATTCAATAGCTGTTCGCTTTTAATTTTTTTGCCATTTTTGTTGATATTTTACGCATAAAATTTTTATTTTTTGTATTCTTATTAATTAATTTTTATTGAAATAACAATAATTATGAAAAAACTCAATAAATTCAAAATATATGTAAAATCGAGGGCTATAAATATCTTCGATTCAATCGAATAACGAATCAATCGTTGGTTCTTATGTGCTAATTTTTATTGATTAATTAATAAAAAATATTATTGTTATACATATATTTATATTTGACTAATAAAATAATCTTATTTTTCGAATGGAAGTTGGTAATTAGATGACGAGATAGTAAAGAGTGGATAATAACAACTGTATTCACAGTTAATGATTATATTATTAGTGACCTTTTCCTATATTTATGTTAAATACTTCAACATGCTCCCACCTTTCGTTAAAGACTCTCTTTCTCAAACTTTTTTTCGTTTTTCCGTCGCGAATTTCATTGCGTCTCTCGCGACTTTACATTGAAAATGTAAAGGTAAATGTTAAGGCAAATGTCTTTGTAATGTAAATATAAATGCAATGTAATTCAAATGTTTTTGTTATGGTTAATAATTCTCGAATATATTTATTTTTTGTTTATTTTATTTATTTTTACGAGCTCGTGTTTCTTTTATATCTAATGTAATACCTTGTCTAATCGTCTTACTGGCTGACTTGTAACAGCAGTTCTGCTGACGTCTTGCCATTTGTTATGTGTAAATTTTATGCATTACAATAAAATATGAATTTGAATTTGAATATTATGATTACGTAAGAACGAATTCCATTATACGTACATTATCTATTTATTTCAACATATAAAATTTTGATATATAATCTATTTTTATGTGAAGCAAGATAGTAGAAACTCGTATTTATCATATTATTAGTCTTGTTGTTATTTAATTTGATAAAGCTTAAGATTTGATAAGATATAACTGCGGCTGAATATATTGATTTTACGGAAATTCGCGAAATTCATTGACGCGTTTTTCTTGCTACAGGGGAAAATCTCTTAGAGGTTTTCTTGAAAACCAATTTAGATGCAGCGCTGATACCTTGAGTTTTACTTTTAATTCTTTAGATCTGATCTCTTCAAGGTTGGTACGTTTATGCATAAGTATGTTCACGATTGGGAAGTCATATGAGCAGTTTGGCGTGAAGTCGCCGTGAAAATCGGTGAACTATTTTAAATAATGAATTCTCAGGCTCCCGGTTTGTTTTCATTTGCATATTATTAGCGCTGAGTTCCTTCTATATATCTTGAATATTTTTGCATCAAAAGGATCATGTAATGTGATATGAATAAGATCTGTCGACCATAGTACACTGGCCGACCATAGTACACTGGAGTGACTAGATTTGCGAATATTAATTAAAGAAATTTCGGAGCGAATATCAATTAAGGTTAAAAAACAGAGTCATTCGCAATTAAATTACATAAATTAAAATTTTTTTTTCAATAAAAGAAGTAATAATAGCATTTTACCGAAAAAAAATCTTGCGATTACTAACGTATCCGGAATCTTACACAACGTTTTTACATAAGTAAAGTCTTAATAAGGAAAAGACTCTTATTAAGTGTTACATTCCTTTAATTATTTACTGTTGAACAAAGTTCCATAAGCCAATAAAAAAAGGATTGCACATGTTATTTATAAAAATTTTCGTTTATTTACGTAAGTAGTGATAACATTCCTTATCTCTGTGTGTATCTTGTAGGAATAATTTTACTGTTTAGCAAATTAATATTTTTTAAGATTTACATTCTAGACTTACAGATAATACTCACTTTTAGATAAAGATCTGAATCACTTCGTATTAATTTTTAAATATTTATATCCAAAAGAATGATTGTTTACGTAATAACGTTCTTCCCATCCGAAAAAGAACTTGTAGTGTTGTATCGGGATTAAAAGAAAGATAATTTTTATCCGGGATATCACGCAAATCAATGAAAATTAAACGTAAAATTAAATACGAAATTAAAACAAAAGAACAAACCTTTTCCCGTGCTCGGAGACTGCCATTTCGGTCGGACCCGCTCGTTGTTCAGTTTTCTCGTCTTCACGCATGCCGACTCTCTTGCATATCGAAGGACGATGTAACCGATACGATGAGGAGGATGGCCTTCTTTCAAAGCAAAATAATGTACAATCAGATTCTTGCGCGATCGCGAAGATAATTACGATTTTCCACCACTTGTTCCTAACATACGATTGATTGAAACTTGCTTATGGGCTAATATATGTATATTATGCAGTGTGTAATAGGTACCTTTTGAAAGATATCTAAGTACAAATACAAGTAGGAAATACACTGTGGAAAAAGTATCTAGTCATGTAAATACGTCTTTTAAAGTTATTTAGTAGAGTTAGTGTTTCAAGACCGAAAAATCATTTCGGCGCGTATTTTAAAGGACATACGTATATAAATTCACACACAATTATACAAACACTTAAGATCCAGTTAAGCCGTTTAAGGCATTGATTTCTATAATAGGTTGTATTCTCACATATCCTGTAAGATATTATATCTTTTTAAAAATTATCTAAGTACAGATACAGTACCTGAAAGATTTTGTTATTTTTTTAGATACTTCTTATTAAAAAAAAAAAACAAACTGCGTAAATGAATTTTATTTTACATCAAATTATTACGTACTTATGTAGTACTTATTATATAGTATTTATAAAAATGTTTGGATAACTGTCATATGTTATGCGTTTTTAAAATAAATAGTATTTTAAACATTATAGGTATCGCAAAGTCGATTTCTTCTAAGAATTAAAATTAAGTTTATAATATAATGATAATGTATAGATCAACGATATATATACATAAACCAAGCATCTGAATTTGTAACTTGTAGGAAGTTTAATAGGATCTATAATTCGTTGTGTCTGTTTCTGTTTTCAGAGAAAGCAAAGATAACATGGAATCTCAACGGTTATTAACGGTCACTTAGACCGGTATTCATTGTCGGTTCTTATTTCAAGACCGTCTTAAGTAATGTCTTAAGATGCCAATGCGGTCCTCTGATTGGTTCGTTACATCTCGTGGGACAACATTATACTTCGAAGAATTTTAATGTAAATCTCTCTTATTCATTAATAAAACTACAATAAAGTATAAAATAAGTTTGATTAATTTTACTGAAGTGCATGGTAAAAATCTTTAAAATATTGTATTGTACCACAACTACCATATTTTCAAGGTAAATTTTAAAAGAAAATTCTCCCGTGTACTGTTAAAGTATAACCTAAATACTGTATACTTATACCTTAGGTATAGTATTTACAATATGATATTATAAGAACTAGAAGAGATTCACAAATTGTTGCAAGCGGATTTACTTTTACAAAGAATTGCGATAGCGAATATTCATACCGAGTTTAATAAACTTACGTTAGGGATGAGTGATACAGAGCCGATATTTTTGAACTTTTTTTCTTGATATTTTCTATCGATATTTTATCTTTCGATATTGACATTTGAACAGGAATATTGAATTTCCGATACGGTCCATTAAATCCGTGTTAATTTAGTAATGGATTGAGATCAAATTGAAATTTTCATTATTTATCATACTTATTATATATATTGTAAGAATACAATATATAATGAAAGATTAAAATTATATAAATATAAATAATGAAATAACAAAATAAATAAAAATAAAATGTATAAATGTATATATTATGTGTATATATATATATATGTATATGTTTGAAATAAAAAGTAAGATATAAGTTTATATACATATACATATGGTATTCCAATTAATACTATCAGATATGTACAAACCTTCAAGAGATGTCCCCGAGTAGAAATTTGTTCAAGTGTGTCGGATTTAGCTTGCGCCGGATCAGGCCCAAATCCAGGTCTGGAAAAAAGAAAAATAAACGTTCGATGTGCGTCTTTACCCAGTGAGAAATGACAATGGAATCGACGTCGAATCGATATCGATATATCCTAAAAACGTTTCCAGGATATCTCTTGAATAAAATGTGGTGTATGGAATATATATATATAATATCTATATATAGTACTAATTGCAATTAAATAACATAATTTTTAAAAAATTTTTATTGAAACAATTATTCAAAAAGATCGCTGAAATAGCCTAAAAAATGATCTCCAACCGTTATTTTTGCAAAAAGATGGATATCTTACGCATCAATACGCATGTATCATAAAAACAGAAATATCAGATCGATATTCGCAATATCGCAAATTATTTAGCTGATATTTTGGTGTATCAATATATCTGCTAACGATACAGTGCGATAAGAAATATCGAGATTTTTTTGTATCATCCATCTCTAGCTCACGTTCGATTTATCCCAGGTTCAGTATCCACATTTGCATAAAGATTCGCGTGATTTTAAGAAGCGGAAGCGTTATAGATATCTCGCATGGAATAGGCGAAAAAATAGATAAAACAGAAAAAGATCGATGGAAATTTATTCTATATAAAGTTTATCTAATCTTTGAAATAAAAAATTGATGATAAGAACATGATTATACAAGACTGTCATATGTATGATTAATGATTTGTTATTAGTTTTAATTGGATTTTAATTGGAAACAATTAATGATTTACTTTATTGCGCTCAATTTACTTAATTATTCATGATTGAAATAAATGAAAGCTAATACAATAATTGAAAGCTGATATGCTGAGTGTTATGACAAATTTTATTTATGAATTCTTTATGCAATTTAAAATATAGCTTTCAATAAATATATTAACCCTTCGGTTCCACTTGTGTGGCATATACTCGAGATTTCTTTTTACTTTGCGCTATGTTATAGATGTTTTATTAATAAAGATACGTATATCTGCTTGTTACCGTTATGTTTCACTTAACACATTTCGTACTACGTGGGTCACCGGTTGACCTATACTAAACTTTCCGTTTAGGTTGTTTGATAATTTAGCTATAAAAAAAATGAAATTATAAAATAATTTTTGCGATATTGATACATTAGGTCTTTTTTTTTATAAAAATAATTTAATTTTTCAACCACCATGAAATACATATTATTTAATAAACGTAAAAGACAAGCAAAAATAACTAAGTCACTAATAACGCATGTGACGTATTAGACAAACCATTTAAAATTGGCCTAACATAGCACATGCATTAATGGGTGCTTTTCAACATTTTAACACAAACATATACCAGAATGGACAAAATATAACATTATGCAAAGTGCATGACTTAATTGGAACAAAATATGTACGCTATGTACGGTTTCGGATAGAGTTAATTTTTCAATACTACGCCGATGCTTTGGTATTTGTAATCTATGGTAATATTTTTCCGTATTTCAACCAGAAAACAACTTATAAAAAACTTGCGTAGCACGTTTAGTTTTTTCCGTCTATATTGAATAAAGAAAGCAAAAATACGATTTTCAACTTCATTCATACACAGAGAAAATAATGTTATATTTTGTCCATTCTAGTATATGTTTGTGTTAAAATGTTGAAATTTTAAATGATTTGTCTAATACGTCACATGCGTTATTAGTGACTCAGTTATTTTTATCTATACTTTATCATAATATCTATACTTTAGCTGTCCATATTTTCTGCCATTTAGTTATCACATGCAGTTTTTAATTACGACAGCTACTTTTTTTTCCGTGTAGATTACTAACATTTATATTAACATCATTCTAAGATGCCTTATGAGCATCAATATAATTAAATTGCTTGTCAATTTAATTTGTGATGTTACTACTCTAATTCTGTTAGAATTGCGTTTCAAGACTGAAAATAAATTCGGCGCGCAGTTTGAGGGATTGGATATGAATATATAGATTCACACAGAATTATTTCAACACTAAAGTTCCAGTTTAACCGTTTAAAGCCTTTGTTTCCGAATTGTTATGTAGTAACATTTAACTGTCATTAAAAAAAAAACGGAAGCTTACATAACCGACTAATAGCTCTCGGACTAAATACGAATGTGTTATGTCGATGATTACGGCAATTGGAACACAATTTGTGTCGCTGTGTATATGAAAGTATCTAATTTTACAATTGGAAAACACCCATTGTTTTGATTTAAAAAAATTAATTATAAAATTGTTATAAATTTGTCCATTTTTATGCAATATTTTTACACATATAGTAGACATGAACGTGGCGACAAAAACGGTATACAGTGACAAAGGATTAAAATTGTAAGTTTTTTAATTATAAATAATTAAAAATTGACGATTTTTCTTACAATTAATAGTAAACTTTTGTTCTTCATTCGATATCAAGTAGAAATTACTTTAAGGCGCTTTAATTAAAGGTTTAATTATAAGTTAAAAATTATGAAGTTTTGAAAAAAGGTAGTATCCAATTAAAAAGTTCTGCCAAAGAAAAATTAATTACAAATTGTAAAAAGTTCGCAAATGAAGTTTGTTGGTAACACTTTATGTATATAATTAGTGAATGCAGGAATTTATACAAAGAATTAACGAATTGATGCATTAAGTATATGATCTTAGAAGAACGAATTTCTTTCGATCAATTTCAATTCTATATGTCAAGAAGGTCCTTGTACTTAAAATTATTCCTATTGTGCTCACCTGATCGAGGATGTAGTCAGAAACGATCAACAATCCTCCCGTTTTTTTTACTAGGAAAAATTTTGATCAGCTTTGTGTTAATTAAAATGGAAACGGCTTCTTTTTTTGATAGAACGATTTCTTTGTCGAATTGAAGCGTTCCGTGAGATTCAAGTTCAAAGAATTATCGCATTCGAATCGTCATGAAATCTGAATTATGTATAACGGTTTCTTGTTTATTTTTTATTTATCAGATGATGTAGATTTAATAACTGCATGAATTTTTCCTGTTACGCAAGTAACATGTAGTTATTTGCAAACATGCAATAAATTGAATGCACTTGTATGCATGCGATGTTTGCCATTGTTCTTCTACAAATTTGACGTTTTTCAATTTATGTTTGTTTCTCTTTGGTCATTTTCTTTTGTTTTTCCTTTGGAAAGGAACTTTATAGTTCGTTAGAAATCCTTGTGAATTATTCTTGTAGGACCATAAAATCGATCGAATAGAAAATTACCACTTTCAGATTCAATTTCAACTATTCTAACTCAATGATAAATTTTATATATTATAGTACAATTAAAAAGATAATAATGTCAAGGGAACTATAAAAGAGGCCTCTGTCAGAAAATCAGAATTTTGGTTGCTTTTGTTATGAACGAAATACAATTGATTTATTTAATGAATTCTTAGTGAGTTTTCAGTATATTAGATATATTGAATCGTCTCGTTATATCTTTTACGAATTTATGTAAAAATTTTTCCAATCGAATGTCACACTTTTTTCTTTTCTCACACACATTTGCTCGGTTATCGATTTAAATTTTTATACAAAATACTTCCGCAATGATGGCGAACTGTAAAAGTATTTCCTAACTTCTCCCTTCTTTTTTAATATTAGAAATAAGTCTCTCTTATATTATAAGATAATAACTAGTCTCGGTTCTCAAAGAAGAAAAAAAAATACTATTTACGAGAATTTCGTTGCGGAGAGATTTAGTATTCGTTTCTGTCGCGACAAAATCTGGGAGAGCCGAGGTGAAATCGCGAAGTAAAAGCTTTAGAGAGAGCGGGGAAAAGATTACCGATTTACATGAGATCGGGCCTCCGCGACAGACTAAACGTCGCGCAGCACGAAAGCCGTGAGCTAGCTGCACTTTCGATTTTGAGCTCCCTCCTTCGATACCTGCCTTCCTCCTAACAGAGATTGTAGGCGAATAGGTATATATTCGCGCGCGTACGTGTGACCTCTCTTCCTCCCTTCTCTTGCCTCCGATCATTTGATTGTGATTACACCCGCCGTACAGACGACTATAGGATCCGTCAGTGTGATGGAGAACGGAAAGACGAGTAGGACCAAGTTGCTGAAATTAAGAATGTTAAAGCGTGTGTGAAATTAGCACCCCAAAATTAAAATTCCATAGTTCTGATTCCAATTCATTTTGAAGAGAATTTCTTTATTTTTATTTATCTTCTTAGTTTTTCATTTTGGGAACACTATAAGAGATAAGATAATTTTTAATCAAGTCTCTTTAAATTATAAGTAGTGTTTGCACAAGAGACAATTTTGTCGAAGTTCTTATGATTAGATATAATTCCTGTTAGAATAGGTTATTAAGAAATGTTCAGTTTTTTATATTGATATATATATATATAGAGAGAGAGAGAGAGAGAATAATGTATTATTTTTTTCTCATAAGATAAGAAAATTAATATTTTTGTGAAGAAATTTATCATATTTTTTGAAGAATTTGTTGAAATTTGCACATTATATTGTTATATTCTAGTGTTCTAATTTATAACAACTTATAATAATTTATAAGCCAAATTCATCAATAAAATAATTAATTAACAATTTCAACAACAATACAATTATCAATAGAAGACATCAAACATTTATAAATTTCAACAGGAATTATAACATTTGCCTTTCTAATAATTAAAATGCATCATTTGCTTTTAATAACATCGATAGATATACAATTTCTTTCCTATAAAATTCTTTTTGAATCACCTTGACTATCTTTTATGGCATTAATATTCAAAATGGAGATATGACGGGAATGGAAATACAAGAATAGTTTCTTTAAGTAATTTTTAATTTAAAACCATGATAGCTATGCTGAATGATTGATTATTTTTCTAAAAGACAGTATTCGAATGTATTCCTAATTACTAAATAGATTTAAGATTAATGGATTATATGACGACAATATACTAACACACCGATGCGAAATGATAATGATATGCCGCTGCAAGTGACGTAGTTATTGTATTGTTCTCTACAAATTGAAATCGTGTCTGAAATCTATTCTAGGAAACATTTTTGCATTATTTCTAACAATGCCAATGAAAAAATCGATCGCAGACAAATCTCATTGACTATTTTTATATTTCCATTACTTTTTATTTCACTACTTCTCTTTTATCTTCACGTATAATCTTACGTATGATCGTTATCTCATGTTATTCAATGCTTGGATTTATTTGTTTTTATATCCATCAGAGATTGCATATGCATATAGTGTATATGCATATACATATATATAAAAGAATTCATATTGATGAAATCAATTTTCGAATGTGCTCCAATTCGTTGATTTCACCGTGGCATCATTTTTCAGTGTATTATTGAAATCGAAATGTGAACTCGGCGAAATTGCTTTTGTTCGAATATCTGTTTACAATATCGTTACATGTAACGCAATATATTTTGTGGAGAATACATGAGAAATAAATTATTTTACAGAAGTTTACTTAACTGATGCACTAAAACAATTTCTCGCGAACATATGTTCTAACAAAATAAGAAATCAAATGTCAAAGATTATGTTAATCACTGGTTATTATCATATTTAATCGTAGATTACGCTACTAACTGTCATCGATCTCTCTTCTTTTAATTCTTATTTGTTTGTAATAATGCGATTAATGACTGTTTGACGCTATGCGAAGTAGCGACAGTATTAATTGACATAAAGGTAATGTGAAATTTGCACATGCACTTAATACAATACATTTGTACATCTTAAAAATGCAATTTGTTTGCACTGTTTTGCTTGTGTTTAGCAAATTATATAGCTATTCGTTTGACATCGTCGATTACAAATCTGAGACCCATTCGTATTATGGCTTACTTTTTATTGAATATAACGTTGTTAATTGCGTTTTCCTCTCTGCGTCTAACTTACATCTTTAAGACATTTTAAGGTAGATATTTTTTATTTAATTTGTATTTTAAGTTAATTTATAACGTATTGTTAATTTATTATTTATTTGTAAGATTGGAGAACTGTAAAAAGAGTGAGATGAGATCTCCTGCGATTTTAAATATGGACCACATGTCATTGATACAACTGAATTCTGTACTGGACGTTATAATTTAACTAAATCTTCCGAGAATTTTATAACTTTGGTTATTTTGCATTGAAAATGACCCGATCGGGGTCGAAACGTTGCATGTATACATGTATGTAAGAAAGTTTATTAAATATTCTTTGTTATAACTGGCTCATAGCCCATTCTTTTTACTAATAATAGAATACGTACCTGTATATTTAAATGAAATGGATACTTGAGCGAGCCTTCGTTTTCGTAACAATTTTATAATATGATTATATTTTTCTGAAAGTAAATTTATAGTAAATGCTATGAAGATACTTAATGAGACATTATAATCTAAGTAAAAAATACTTATTAGAAATATTTATTTATATTTATCATAAATATTGTATAAAATATAGTCTATATATTTTAATAATATTTCGAATAAAGTTTTATATAAAAAATGTATGAAATATCTACATAACATTTCAAAAAATAAATATATTAATAAATACATTTATCATAAATATATTCTGTGCTGTCTGGGACTATATCATAATATTAATGATTAGGTTATTTGTAAAAATTAAAACTGAGTTTCTAGTAATATTTTATTTATCACATTTTAATACATTTTTAAATGATATCGTTATTATATTAGCTAATTGAATTGAGAGCTGAGACAATTAATTTTTAACATGTGTTTTTAATGTCGTATACATTTGCGTATACTTTGCGATCTTGGCATATGTGATTTTCTTTATTTAAATATATAAATAATTCACCTAAATACAGTTAAGGAGACTGCAATCGCTGTTGCAGTCGACAAAGTAGGACGGTACTTGTCACGTTGAAAATACTTAGAAAATTCATTGCATCAACTCTAAAGCGTAATGATACTGAGAAACGTGTTAGCGATTGTTTCAAAATATAATTATTCAATTAGAGAGTACAACTAATCAGAAGAGGAAAGTTAGCTTTAAGAGAAGATCTTAAGCGAGTATAAATTGCACAATTCTTCGTATTACAGCGTTTCCTTTCCTTTTATATAATTTACAGTGCGTGATAGCGGGAATACTATCAAAAAAATCTCAAATTATTCGGTGTCGATTGATCATTCCAGTAGATCAGCTAATATAATCAATATGACAAAAAAAGCATAAATATAAAATGAGGTGAAATAGGTGTATATTGAATATAGCAACTTTTATTAAGAACAATATATTCTGTTCTGTATTGTGCATACAATCTCGGCGTAATCGTGTTAATTAATCAAATAAATAGAAAAGTCACATATATTTAATTATTCGCTAGTGAGCCAACTGTTTCATTGCAAATACATTTTGTTATAATACAGAATGCCCAACAAATTGCTAGAAAATTGTGACAATAATGTTTCAATCGCGACAAATCTTCAAAAGCTTGATCTTTAATCAGCATTATAGTCAGAACATTATAGTCTAATATTCTTATCATTTTTTTTCAGTAGTTATGCAATCAATTAATTAAATCAATCGTATATTTTTACTTTTTCTCCGATTATGTCACAATATTTATCAGATATACAAATCACTCTCTTTTCTTATTTTATTTTCTATTAGTTCGATGTTTTGACACGCAACGTTTTGTGATGTAAAAAATTACGTAGGAAAAATATATGCATGTATTCGCTACCTTTCTCTTTCTTTGATGGCTAGATCATCAGTGGTCGTAAACTCGATAATATTTTGCATCAAAAACTAAAATAATGATCGATAAAAAAAGCATACACATTCAGAATAAAATAATTAACTCACGAAAAATGGCGTGTATAGTATAGTTCAACTTTAGAAGTGATGACATAATTGCGCATACAGTTTATCAGGATTAGAAAAATTACTTTGTAAAAATAATTAGTTTTAGTTGGTTTTTTTTTCTTCTTAAAAAGTTATAAGTTACCGATTATGGAAAGTATAGACTATGGTATACAAAAAAAAATTTAAGCAGTAAGACGCGAAGCAATAAGCCAATCTCATTTTCGATTCGTTACTGCTTACAATATTGCCTTGTGTCTTTACTATAATTTGTCGATTCGCATACTGTTTATATCTTACTGTTTTACATTTCTTGTATGCTATAGTTTTAAAACGTTACAATTATAATAATACTTAAAAAATAAAGAATCATTACTTTTCAATTACTTTTTTTGTTAATTTTTTATAATTTTTTGCATTGCTATTTTAAATACAAGAATCTTATATATTTCTAACAGTAATAAATTATTGTAATTACATTAAATAATTCGGTTGTGTACGCTGTATTATTCATAGATAATATATACTCTTGGAATAAAAATTATGAGATATTAAGACGCATTTACATATTAAAAGGCTTCTATTAATACAGACATTTATAGAATATAATAATTTTATCAGAGATAAAAAGATATATTTTAGTCACTAAAAATAATCACTGATTTTTACTGAGTACATTTTTTGATTGCCCTATATGTTGATGAATAAGTTTGAAATATATATAAAATAACTATGAAAGTAATTATTAAAGTAGTTACTAGTTATTACAAAAAAATATAAGGCTGCGTTCTTACATTCAATGTTAGTATTGAAAAGCTGTAATATACGTTGCGTGCATTATAGATTTTCAACACTGGCAATGAATATCGGTATACACTTTAAGTTAATTTAATTATAGATAAAAAAAGGACCGAGAAAGCTGTAAAAAAAAAGTAACTCTAACTGTAACTATTACAAATAACGAGTTACTTCCCTACAATTTATAAATTCTAATTTTCAAATATAGCAATATATAAAGATATTGTAGAAAAAAATACGTGGCAGAAATCGGAATCCAGAGAAATATCTTTTTATATGAGATGTATTAATATTTTTATTCGACACGCCAAAATTCCTGAGTTAATTTTAATTATTTGTAACATATTCCACTTATTTAATAAGTTGATTTTCACTCCACATTCTGAGTAAGAATTCATTGCACTCTTCGAAATCACCAACAGGTCCGCTCGTTCATAGAAAATAAAATAACGAGTAACAAACTGAAACAACACATAGTACATTTCTTCTCAAAGAATTATACCCTTTTATATAACAGTATACGCTTAAAAAACATCAGTGCAGCTGCCATATTAAGTAAAAAGCAAGTAAAGAAGCATATCTTCCTTATATTGTGTTATTGATTTAGATAACTATTATTACAGTGTAAATATAGTCCGCATAAAATGAAAGCACACGTCACTTTGTTCAAAGAGATGTGTGTGTGTGTGTGTGTGATCGTTGTAAAAAATTTATTTTAAAACTAACAAGAGAAGTTTCACAATTGTGTCCGAAACCGATTTGATTCTCCATGAAATATGTTGTTAAACATGAAAATCTTTTTTAATTGTTAACAAAAAAATAAAAAAAAATTTTTTTCTTCACAACATTGAAGTACTCATGAAACCGTACAACTTTTGTTTAAAAATTTTTTTTCCATCTTTTATACTTTCGACGGTATTCGGTTCGAAATAGAAATACTGTTTTTTTTTTCAAAGGGGTGTTTCACCCCTTAAACATGAGTTAGCACACATATAAAAAAAATACATGTCTCTTAGATTTTCGTGTTTAACAACATATTTCATGGAGAATCAAATCGGTTCCGGACAATTGTGAAACTTCCTTTATAAGTAAATTGAAATGTTATTTGGTACGATGGCTGTGAATGGACATCAATTAACTGAATTAATTAGATTGGCGAAATACGTTTACAAATAATATACATAATCAGTATATGCAAAAAGATCCGTTTAATTATATGTCACAATGTTTCAAGAAGTGATTTTAGAATTCAAAATAAAAAAAATATCATGAATATAATTTATTTTTGTTATATGTAAAATTAAATGAAGTATGACATATAATTAAGAATTATTCTATATTAAATTTTATCTGTGTAATAAATTAATTCTAAGTCATAACACAACCGACAGGATATCTAAAAATCATCATAGCTAGAGAATCTCCCTAAATTTTTAGTTATCTGGGTACGCATTAAATTTTTTTCAATTAACCAATAGTAGTGACAAATACTTAATTTAATTTGAAGTAATTGTTATACTATGCTATATTAGATAAATAAGACACATATTGCAGTGTTCTAATTAAATAGAAATTAAATTATTTTTTTAGGTCTATTTTACTTGTAATATATATTGTGTAATAAGGAACAAAAATTTTTTTTTCGTATTTGTCTACGTTTCCATTTCGCTCTTTCTCTCAATATGAAACTGACGGATACGATAAAGGCACTTTTAAAACCTGATGTACACAATGTCAATACATTTTCGTCTATGTATAAATTTACATAAAAAATCATAGGTAATAATTTTGGAAATGTTACAATTTTAATCATTGAATTTAACTTTATATTTGATAATTCTAAAAATTGAAATAATTTTTAAACAATTTTTCATAATTTTGTAATTAGTATTCATCTGTTAATGATAAATATTCAAAATCACTTATAATGTTCTGTAGCAGATGCAATATTATCATTTTTATCACATCATTATCATAATAGTTGTTAAACTCTTTGTGGGTCATAACTGTCTTTCGCTTTTATATTAGAAAACAATATCAGTTTTACAAATGCATGTATGTTATTACGATATTACTTATAGTAAAAAGATTAAAAATATTTAAATAAAATATTAAGCGATTTTATATTACAGAACAAAAGCTAAGAGACGATCCAAAATAAAGCACAGCCACTATGCATGTATATGTTATAAAATATTAAATAAACGCATGTTAAAATTATTTAATATCGTAATCAGTTAAGAAAATTCTACATCATCCTTAAAAAATTAAATTAAATTTTAAAAAATTCTGAATAGAACATACCGTTATTATGTTACTAGACAATCTTTACTTTTTCAAATTTTTCAATTGGTGTTTAATGTCATTAATATCGATGATTTAAAAATCGAATATGTGACTATTCATGTATATAATGTTCCGTCAGATAAAAAATATATTCCCGTGAATACGTATATTATGTAACATAAACTTACATCGAAAATATACATCACTCTTTAGAATGTACACGCAATATTATATTGTATAAAAATCTATAGTTTCTAAGATCTAGTTTAATAACATAAGACATTTAAAATAATAAGAAGCTAAGATAAAGAAAAACACGGCTATATACACGCGCAAAGAACTTAATCCAGCTTATCAGAGACCAATGGAAATCTGACTATTCTCAATTGCCGACCGTAGTCGCAGACGACACTGTCCCTCAATGCCAGCATTTGCTTTACAAAAATGCAGCTGTCTTTATGACCCAATCTCACTTCTCGCACTGGCTCACCCGTTCTTACGTCCCAGACCACTAATGATCCCTGAAATATTAATATTCAATTTTGAGATTGAGATTTATTTTCATAATCTTGATAAAGATTTAAAATACAATTTTGTGTGTGTGTGTGTGTGTGTGTGTGTGTGTGTGTGTGTGTGTGTGTGTGTGTGTGTGTGTGTGTGTACATACCTGATTGCTAGTTATGAGGAGATGATGCGTTAACATCACCAATTGTAAGCTATAAGCTGCTTTATGTGCTGGCAAAGTGTGTAATAAGTGTCCTTGAAAGCGTTCCCAGACACACAGTCTTTCGTCTGTTCCGATACTTATCACATAGGACACTGAGCATGTGATAGCGGCTACAGCACCATCGTGGGCTTGAATACTATACATGCATGCTCCTGTAAAAATATTACATAAAAATATTAGATTAGAAGAGATAACAGTTATAATAAATTAAATATTCATTGAGATGAAGATGTTACCTGTCAAAAGATCCCACACACACAGTAACCCATCTTGAGACCCACTACCGGATGTCATGGGACTTATTCTATCGATAAAGAGGCACGATATCGGACCGCAATGCCCATGAAGTGTATACAGAGGCAGCTGATCCTCTAACCTAGATAATATAAGAAAAATATACAGATACACATAAATAATTTTTAGAAAAAGTAAATTGAATTATATTAGACTGTGTGTACCTGTATACTTTCAAGGTGTGATCCTGGCTGCCTGTTAATACACGTCCACCTTCGCTATCTAAAACAGTGATCGCTTGTTGATGTGCTCTATGAAAGCCAATTTTCATGCAGCGCAAATCTTCCTCCGTTTGCATGTAGTTATTTAGATCCATGGGCGAACCAGCACTTCCCGTTCGTACATGTGCTAAAGTAGCAAATCAATTAAACATGGATTTAACTCAATAAAAAGATAATTTGTTATTTATATAATACACAATTTATTGTAGAAACTCTGATATTATTTGAAAGATCATTTACTTCTTCTGTAAGATGTGAAGCCCCAATCAATCTGCTGGCCTTCACTGTAGCTCTCAAGTTGCAGAAAGTCAACAGCACCATTCAATTTAGCTGCCACTACTCTGCTACCAACGAGTTTAACGGCAGAGATTCCAAGTCCTGATCCATCATCGAAGAGACACTAAGTTTTAAGAAAGAATACAATTATTTTGAATTAATTAATTTACATTTGTCAGAATAATATATTTACTCAAATTATTCATAACTCACCTTGAATCTACCGGTCGTGCCCTCCCAGAATTCTAGACTGCCATTAGCGCACCCTACTACTATAAGATTTTCCTGATAATCCATACACCAAATCGCCGCTATAATGGGCGACGATTGTATTGTGCGGTCGGTATTTATGGAGGATGTGCTGCCAACTAAATTATTCGATCTTGCGGGAAAAACACCTAATTGTTCCCTGATTTTAGATTTTTGCATCTCCTCGATCGACTTATTGTGTTCATCGAATAAGATTTTATATCGCTCCCCGAAGTCATAGCCTTGATCATAATTTTTTTGCGAGGGTGTATATTTTATAGTTGAGAATTTGATGTTTATCGCCGGTTTTAGATCAGGAAGATCGTAGGCACTGCCTAAGCTTCGACGTAACAGCTTCTGCTTATTGTCGCTACTAAGTTCATTGATTTGATAATCGTAATCTAACATATTTCCTACAGATCGTCTTTTATGGTCATTGTTATTGTTACTATTAACTCTTCGCATATTGTAAGCGGGAGATAACTTTCCCTGATACATCGCCGAGGTCGGTGAATAAAGTCCCATTGACTGCGTCACTTCCATTTCACCCCGGGAAGGTGGTGAACCGCTTTCGTAATCTGACATCAGCTCGTCGGCATCCGGCGACGCTTGACTCAGCGTTTTCTGCGGACCGCTGAAAAATTGTCGTCTATCGATATGTGCCAATTGCTCGCCAGACGTCGAGTCCCATATTCTGATATGTCCTGCTAAACATGTGCTAGCAACGGTGTTACCGTCCGTCGCGATGCATTCTACTTCCTGAGTATGACCTTCCAAGACCAGAGGCACAGCTTCCAGCACTAACTGAGTAACGTAATCGTGCGTTTTTTCTTGCTGGTGCCAACTGGCTCGCCACTCCGCGTAATTTCTCGTGCAGACACAACGGTATAATACGACCATTGTATAAGCAACCACGATTACGCTAATAAGACACAGCAGAGCGGCTAGAAATATTTCCATCGGACTCGACGGTACAAAAGGCGTATCCGTATTAAATACACGTCCTTCTGATCTCGATGGTACTTCCATATCTAAAAATTAAAAAGTGTAAAAAAAGTTAAAGACTCAATAATTAACTCTTTGTAATTTTTCATTGAAAAATTCAAACCTGAAAAATCTAAAGGATCAAGCGCAGCGGTAGCGAGACTCTGCCACTGGAAGTGTTGAACATCATTTGGATTGCTAATTTGTTTTGCTAATTGCGGGCTTACCGCGTGTGCTAATTTTATAGTCGGTAATATAGTCACTCGCCCACCAGCAACCGACACATTGTACATTGAAAGAATCGAAGACCAATGATACAGTGACAAACTATTCCAAGGCGGAAAATCCATAGGTCTCAGCTTATTTAATTCCTCTGTTGTATTATTAGTTAAATCCTAAAAAATACATTTTTCTTAAATATATAGACTTAAAAATGTATGAGAATGTTGTCTAGTTGAAATGAAAATAAAATGAAAATTCACCTGTTCGTTTAAATTATTCGGGGCTACAGTTGCAGGCGATATAGAAATAGGTGTTACCGTATTTAGCTTAACATAATCGTTTAATGATGGAGGCTTGTCTACCGTATAACCATCAATATCAGCTTCTGGCTTTAACGTCTCGCTAAGATGTATTATGTGCTCGATGATACCAGAATCGTTAATAGTCATGCTAATCCACACAACCATTCCTACCATAAATGCACGCTGGAAGATTCGTGTTCGCGCCCATAAATGCACCAATCTCAAACGCTTGGGGATCTTGTCCAGTGTATGAGTATTTTGTGTATTCGGGGCAATAACGTTCGTCGGGCCAGTAGACAGGCCGTTCAATCTCGGATGAGATTTAGAACGGAATATATGAGGTTTCCTATTGGTAATGGTAGTGGTAAACTGTTGTCTGCGTGATGTTTGAACGTGCGACAAGTGAAACTTGGAATTCTCGCTGGATAACTCTGTTCGTCTGATGTCGATCGCCAGGATCGTCGAGAAGAATACCATTTGTAAGAAAAAGTCATTCAATAATCCAACAATGGCGAATATACAAAATTCCTGGATAGCAGGGACAAAAGTAAATAAACCGATAGTTAGGATCGTCACTTCTGTGAGCAGATTCTTTGTAATAGACCATCCTTCTTTAGATAAAGCCTGAGCGACACGTATCTTTACGTCCAATTGGGCTGGCGTGCTAACGACACTCTTAGTCAATACTTGAATATTCTCAAGGCCGAAGATAATCACCAAGTACGGAAACACTTCCTTAGCACTCATGCTCAATGTCAGACCGAAGAAAAAGCACACACCCACAGTCATTGATAACGAGCCCATCACTGTTATGCTGGCACTGAATGCAATGCCAATTTTAGACTTTACCAGTTCTATTTTCCGCACTTGGAAGTATTCGTAGAAAAATAAGGCTAGGGAAGTCATCATCAACGGGAAGAATTCACTGTAATTGAATTCGCCAGGATAGAAAATATTTAATACTTCATTGCGCGTATCAACGTCCGTGCTATTGTCGACGGTTTGATGCAGCTGATAATAGGTTCGCAGTCGGTGCTGCAATCCTTTTATAAATCTATAAGCAAGTAAAATATAAATGTTAATATAATTGTATTAATAACAAATTAAAAAATGTGATTTATATAAATACTTACTCCTGATCATATTTCTTTAAATAAATGGTCACGGCATATTGGAGAATTCTCTGGCGAACCCGAGCAGGATATCGTTTCACTCCTGTTTCCTTTAAACTCATTCCAAACATCACTTCTGCGAGACTTATCTTACCTCTTTGAAGATTCTGTAATAGTAACGATACAAACAAATTAACTACTTTTTTTACAATAAAGATAAAAATTAAGTTAACATGCCAAACAAAAAAAGCCTTATCTATTTGTGGTAAACAACAATTAACAATTACATATGAGATTACTACACTACTTCATACAAAACAATTATGATTTCATGAATGTATATTCACCTGATACGAAAATATAGTGTTAATAAGATTTGTGTCTTGAGAAAATAACTCTATACTTTGTTGCCAGAGATTCGCGGGCGATAGAACAAGACAGTTGTATTCCGGCAAAACCTCAGCCTTCTTGCCATTTCTTTTTTTCACTGCTTCAATGTGCAAACATACTTGGCCAAGTGTTTTTAATCTAAAAATCAAATCAGATCAGATCCTTATTCTAAGAGAAAAATACCTTCAAATATCAATTATTTTTTAACTTAAAAAAAAGTATTTTTTATATATATCTTGAGCTATATAAAATAATCTTTGGATGTCTTAAAAAAGAAGTTGGATACGTAATCCTTTTCCAAATGTTAGAAATACATATCACGAGTACTTTTCAGACTTAAAAAGGCACAGATAATACAGTGAATTAGTCTTTGCTGTGTTTGCCAATATTATAAACAAAGAAATTATTCACTGTATTGTATTATGCAATCTTTATCTTTATTGCAATGTACCATATAACAAAGTACAGTGTTAGTAGACAAAAGAAATATAGACCTATTGTAGCACATACAAATAAAAAGACACCAACGAAACTGCTGTTACAAATAACTTACCAATAACAGAAACTGTTATCACGAAACTGTTATCATGAAATAATTAAGTAGCGCAGAGATCAGTATAAGATCACTCATGCAATATAAAAAAAAACCCAGAGTTGACAAGAGTTACTTTTTCCGTTATTTTTTAAAATAAATAATTTGACATTGCAATTTTTTATAACTAAACGCTAAGGTTGTGTTAAGACGGGAAAAGTCGATTTTTTTCAATCTTGACACAACCTTAACATTTAGTTATAAAAAATTGCAACATCATGTTTATTCCAAAAAAATAATGAAAAAGTAAGCTTTCCAACTCTGAAAAAACCTCATAAGCACATAACTGTAGATCTGTTTTCTATAGTTGAATTAGTGTATACTTTTGGAATTTAAAGTGAAATAGATATGTTTGATATTTGGCAAAATCAAAACAGAAAATTCTAGAGCAGTCTAGTGCAGGAATAAAAAAGACCTTTTGTCCTTTGCTGAAAAATATCTTTTAATTAATATTTGCTATCCCGTATGAACTATTGATATCAATTAGAGAATAATTAGATGAAGCATTCACGTTTCTGGATGCTGATAGTTTCGTATGATCTCCAAGAGATTGAACACTTCGTATAAAGGTCCTCTGAAGGCATCCATCAGCGTCAGGTCTTCGCTCCATGGCATCACTCCGATCCTTAGTACCACTTGTTGGACATACAGTACCGAGGTCTCCGTGCCGTTCGCTGGTAGGACAGTGTCGTTGATTAGGATTTTTGGGGCATTGCCCGGCATAGGCAGATTGACAAGTGGATAGCTGCAACAACCAAACAAATATCTTAATACAGATCTCTTCCAGGATTGAAGTCATTCAAGTATTGATAAACAATGCAATCATCAGGGGGAAGGGGAATGACTCACCAGCATAATAAAAGAACCGATATCGCGAGGGAGAGTACGATGACGGGATGAGAGGAGCAGAATAGGCCGTGGGCATAATATAGCCCAGCCACTCTGTCCGGCAGACTGCGAGACATTTCACCTATGTATGCGGTCCATGCGACATCTTCGGATTGCAGGCCGTCGTGTCGCCCGTAACTGACCTAGCAACACCCAATAGCCATCCAATAGTATCGATACGGTAAACATGACACATGATACCGCAAAGGCGCAGCGGCCAGAGATAGGTTAGAGGGAACAAAAAGGCGCCGCGTGTTTTTTAATCGATTATCGCTGTTATTACGCAACCGGGATATGCGTGTGCGTGCGCGCTTGTAGATATTTAATAAGCATGCGGCGCCGTTTTTCAATAGCGATAACGAAGCCTGATTGAGCAAACGTCGTTCTCCAACGAAGCGTTCTCCAATTTGTCATGTTTCCTTACACTCGGCTCTCGACTTACAACATCCTTTTAACCATTCCGCTTCATCAGCGACGTTCCACGTGATGCGACGCTCCGTCCAGAGAAAGAAGAAGACTCAATGACTCTGGGACTATCGATTTCTTACAGGAACGCTCCACGACGTCCTCGACGACGACGGTGTCCTCGATGACGCAGTTTGGTCCCTCTATTTGGTCCCGCGCTTCGCCCGCACGAGATTGACGCGGAACCAGAACGATGAGGAGTGACGAGTAGAGTAGTTAACGGCGCGATAAAAAAAGAGCAATGCGAAGCGATGGCATAAAAACGAAATAATTACGCTGCTGAGCGTACACAGTGCACGCGGGCCACAATCGGGATTTAGAGGTTATGTCCGTCGCTGGTTTTTGCGGCGCATTAGAAGCCACGGTGGCGGCGGGGGAAATGGGGGGGAAAGCGTTCGCTTCTTGGAAGTTGGGAATCGATTTCACGTCGCGATTACTGCGTCCGCACGTGCCGTAGATGCTCGCGTCACGTCATCGCTCGAGTAACTCGCACGAGCGAGGCGAGCGGCGAGACGAGCGGCAAAAAATCTCGGCGAGAAGGAACGCGCGCCGTCTACGTGATTGCAACGTGCGACGATGATGACCAACGATGAAGATGTTGCGAGTTGCGACGCTTCCTTCGCTCCTCTACATTCCTCGCGCGCGATAAGCCTGCGTGACTTTGTAGATCCCCCGACTTCGAATCACTTCGAACGATCCACGATGATCCCGGAGTGCACTGGCTGAGTACAGTGCACGCGCGAAAGCGAGAGCGTTAATTTATTTTTAAACCGAGGGGGGTCCCAACTCGGGTCGAGCCTCCGCCGCGCGGCCAATCGCCAGGTGCGTCGCCGAATACACACGTGGCCGTGAAAGGGTGGAAAGGGAAGAGAGAAAGCAAGCTTTGTGTGACGCGCGCGAAAAGAGAAGGTGGTGTAACGCTCGCCAGACAACGTCCGTGGCGTAACTGACCGTGTCTGCGCGTCTGGAATGCCTGGATTGTGCATGCAAAGCCGCGCAGTTAACTAATCCATGATTCGATCGCATGCATAAACGAACAGGTCTCCACGGCAGTGCCTCAAAAAAAGGGGGAAAAAAGTTTACGCGTCTGCACAATGCAGAGGAGCGGAAAGTTCAGGAATTTGGCACAGATATGTTCAGCATTGCTACCAATGTATATTATAGCGTAGGCAAGCCGCTTGCCCCCTTCCCTTCTTTTCTAATTTTGGGAGAGACAATTAAATTACGACGATCCTTTTTGTGATAAAAAATTAATTGTTTATTGTCCAATTTCTGACTCACATGTTTAGTTATTCATAAGATAAAAAAATTCGCTGATGATTTTTCGAAGGCTGGCTTTAATATAAGTATTTTAATAAGTTTTGTGTTCCTAAAAATTTAAGGGAGAACAGGATAAATTTTTGCTCCCTTCTTTCTCTCCCCTCGACTGAAATTCTGAGTACGCCAATGCCAATGTAGATTAATTTTTATCTTGGTTTAAGGCCTTATGTACAAAGGAGGAAATATTTGGAATAGGAATAAATATTGAATACTAAAAGAATAAAAAAGTTAGAAATAGAGAGATAAACGTAACACACAAATGGATATAAATAAGACATATCATATCTTATTTGTATCCATTGTAGGTACAATACATTACATTTAATTCGTATTTTTAATTTTTTTATTTTTCTAATATTTAATATATATTTATTCCTGTTTCTAATACTTTTTTTTATTGTGCGCAATTCTTAATTTACTTTTTATCTTCTTCTAGTTTAAGAATAAGACGAAGATAAATAAGTAAATTAGACCGAGATTAAACTTAATCTACATTGGTAGAAATGAACCATAGACAGATAAATAGAGAAAGAAGAGGAAGGGGAGGGACTTCCTCTTGGGAGATTAAGTAAAAAGAACTGCTACAGAATTAAAAAGAATTCTTATAACACACACACACACACACGCACACACACACACACACACACACACACACACACACACAGAAATTCAGAAAGAATGATGAAACTCTTGTATGAATTTCAATGATATTTGTGAATATTGAGAATTTCTTGGTGAAACTCGGGATGCTGTAGAACGAGATATTAAAGGAATTAAATCACGAAGGGCTTTTGTGACAGTTGACAACGATAATTAATGAGAGTTAGATATTTAAATTACAATAAGATCTTTTGGATGTAGCTTCTAATGACTGCAAAGTAGCGCAAAATCGGAGTCCGTGACTTTCTTCTTTTTAGAGTTGTTAAATTCTATTCTTTTTCATCGCTATCTATTCATGAGACTTTATCGCATGCATAACTAACCGCTTGAATACTATGAATAAAGCTTAATTTTTCGAGGATGAAAGAGTCTTACAAACAGATTTCAAGATGCAAAGAAATTTCAAGTTACAGAAAGATCAAGCTATGAAAAAACTTGTATGATTTAAATATTAGAGTTAATGTTTAACGAGAAAAACATCACGAGTATCACACATTCGAAAATATATTTTAAAAATTTGTGATACGTACACAATATTTATATTACACTCACTTACACATTCGTTTACATTATTTATTTATATTACAGTTCATAAATTAAATCGTTTGTGAATTTTACTTCTCTTTTAACACTAGAAGTACCGACATTTTTTATTCCACACTAAAAAGACTAAGCAAATAAATTACTATGAAAATAAAGAAAATGATGAAAAATCAAATATTTTATAAGTATAAAGAATATATAATTATTGATAATTCAAAAAAATTCAGAATCTTATATTTTACATAAGAAATATAATAGTAATCTAGAAAATAGAATCTAGAAAATAGAAATAGTTAGTGATGACCTATCCGTACTTATATTTATAAAATTATCTCTTCCTGTTTGCTTTTCGCGAATTTAAATTGAAAAAAGAAACTCGGAGATTTGCAATGTCGTGGTTATCAATGGAGACCGAATATCTCCACATTTTTTTCTAATCTTTTGTTTCGATTAATTATCTACATATGTGACAGTCACGAGGTCACTTTAATACGTAGTTAACACCGCGCGTCGTTAATAATTTGGCTCGTTCCATATATATCTTCTTGTTCGATTGGCTTTAGCGAGCTCCACTTCGTGCGGCTCGCGGTCGACCGTCCTGTGCGCCTATTATCCCGCGATTGACATGTTTAATTGCATCAATTGCGTAATAAATGAAAATTAGGCTGCTGCAAATGGTCAGTATCGCTCAGGGGTCAATCGTCTGCAAACGTGCGGGCTTGCGGCGACGCACGTGAGACGCGCTCTGCGAACGAATCGTTGGGAGTTTCAGAAAAAAAAAACTCGTATTACGTTGTTATGTCGCAATTTTAGTTTTGACGTGAGCTTGGTGTTATTAATTGGCAAGGCGACCGTGATATTGTCCCGTCGTATTTGCTTTTTCTCCGTCCAGCGCGTGCACCAATTTTCCGATTCTCTTCCTCTTTCCCAGCTTTTTCGTTGTTCAACTCTTACTTCTTTTATTTTTCATTATTAAATAGATTTGTGCGCGAACAATGGATACGTTTCAGATGTAAAGAGCGTTTTTTTGTGGTTTTAAGACCTCTTGAAAAATTTCGAAATATTAATACTTGTTTTTAATTTTAAATATTTCTGTGGATACTAAATAGATACTTATTTTATAAGCTTTGACCTTGTTATATAAATTCTAATTGATAAATATTAATGTCGGTAATGTATAAATAATTATACTTATTCCAAGAAATATCTTATAAAAGGTAATTCAGATAATTTTTCAGACAATTTTGAGAACGTCTTTTAGACATTTTTTTGATAAGTTTTAAAGATTTTCTTAAAAGGACACGTATGTGTTATCTGTTTTATTTCTACTATCTATTGGCTTTTAATAATCGAGTCGAGATATTTTTAACGCAGAAATGCACAAGAATATACCATCCGTATACATTTGCATAATTAACATATAATGTCATAGACGATGACATTAAAAATAAACATTAGGTGTTATGTTTGATTTTTTGTTAACACAGCAATAAAAAGTACTTTAAATGAGATCCACAAGGCCTTGATTCAAGAATTGAATCTTTACGTGTAGTAATTGGTGTATAAATACAATCGCAGAATGTGATTCTCGATATTTTCTTATCAACATTATGTAATAAATCTTTTTTCTTCATCTTGGATAACATTTACTTTTGCCATTTGAAAATAAATAAAAATAAATGAAAGATAATAAATACAACAGATGTTTTAGGAGAAGGCAGAGAAATGCCGATATTTTTTAAATTTAAATATAAAATATGCGTATACATGAATGTAAATATAAAAAGTGTGTTACCGATATAAAGTTCGTTTCTAGTTAGTAATTATTAAATAGTTATTGAAGTATAATTATTGAAAATAATAGTGCTCATTAATATACATATGTATTGGTTTCTGATGGTCGCTATTGAGTGCACGTGTTGCTACGTTTTGTTGTCCAGAACAAATTAATAATTAAATTTTGTACTGAATTTAATTTTCCGTACATTTTACATTAACTGAGTTCTAATGTGAGAGTTATTACGATATTTTGTACTTGAAAATTCAAATCCATGAGAGAGACGTCCAATTTAATATGAAAAAGTAATTCGAGAAAAATTCAAATTTTCTTTTTAATAAAAGTGTTTTTTTTGAAAGAGAGAGAGAGAATTAAATCATAAATTATATTAATTCGATATAGTATGTAAATGACATTCAACTTTTTTGATATAATTAATTACATCCGTATATTGCAGTCGTATTGTACATTATGCTAAATAACTATTACACAGGGTTGTAACGTTGTTACGTTTATCGCTCAAGTCCTCGTGGGATCTCGTCTCGTCGGCGGTTTTCATTATAACAGTAGACCGGTAAAATTTTATGCTACGAGCGAAGCCTCGTCTTTAGATAACGGGGACGATATCCGCGGTTCGATGTACAGGTTCTTAGGCAATATAGGTAAATGGGGCTTATAATAAAATCGCTTCGATAAATATTAATGATATCGGTAACGTTGCGCCGGCTGCCATTAGTTAGCTCGATGGCTTCTCTCATCCGCTCCATGGATGAAATCGATATTCGAGGTCCTCAGTTAGCTCGGAACCCGGATTTAATCCTTCACTACGAAGTTTCTCAAGAATCTAATAGATTCACAGCCTGTTTTAAAAAAGTATCCAAAAACTAAAGAAAAAAGTTTCTTATTCAAACATGACATATTACTCAATAAATCTGTGTCGCAGGTATTTCTATACAATAAATTTTCGATGTGATACACGCGAAACGTTTACTTGAGTAATAACGTTTTTTTTCTCTATATAAGTATATTTTTGAATTTTGATGACATATTATCCGAGTCAAAATTTTAGTTCTACATTACATCATCAAGTTCTATCAAATTTAAAGGATCAAGTAGGTTCTCGAGATGATATTACAACTAACGTTTGTCCTCCTTTGATGCTATAAATGGTTATTTATTTCCGTTTTCTCCTTGAGAATCAAAGGAGGACTTTGTTAGAACCTCCAAAAGAACTTCAGTGCTATGCTTTTTTAGGAATTGGATATTCGGAAATTTATATTTCTTTATCCCACATATTCAATTTGCATAGTGCATGTGACAC